ATACATATATACATATGTACATACATACAATCTGATTTTTCTGGGGGTAGGTGGAAAGTACTACTTTGCTTTGGGTTTAGGATTTAGGGACTTGGTGGCCGGTTGAAGTTTCAGTTGTGCCGGCAGCCTATCCAGTCCGTGCTTCAAAAATGATTCAGGGACTGGGGACTCTCAGGGTTGTGAGGAGGTCAAATGGAAAACGACATCAAAGATGAATTGGAAGCTTCAACACGTAGGCTGGGAAATGTGTGGGTTAGGGGTTCAGGGTTTGGGGTTTGGGGCCTTTGTTTGAGGGCCTTGCAAGGCTCCTGGGCTCTGTTGGTTGCAGGGCGGCCAAACAAGCGGCGGACTAAACATCGTGCGCTTTTGTGGCATGTTTCCGCCAAGCTAGCTCGCTTCAAGAGAGTATTCGCTCACCTGACCCCCCTTCAGCCGGTGCGCGCGGCAGCTAGGCGAGCTACTTGTTGTGTCTGAAGCTTCATGACCCAAACGCGTCTACTGCGACGACTTTGCTATGTCAAGCGTGAGCTGCGCAGATGATCATGTGCTCTAGGAGTCCCTAGGCAGAGCATCAAGATTCCCCGTTCTGCGTATGTATCACAGGCTGTCAGACCCTCGTACTTGGCAACTGCCTGGGAGCCCAGGAGTCAAAGTAAAGCATTTGTGTGTGAATTCTCGTGGTCCTGAATCTCCCACACTGAGCTTAAGCATGGCTGGGTCGCAATCCTTCCAGCCAGCTGGTACATAGCCTCTTGTTGTCAGACTGGTGCGATTGAGACCATGCATGCTCTGTAGCACGTTGTTCGATCTGTGAGATTTTAGATGCTGTAGAACAAGAGGTTGTAAGATGAGAGCTAGACAAGAAGGAGGTCTTGGCATCTTTATCGGCCTCATTGAGCTCGATCACAGTCAGGCTGCTAGCATGTGCAGCTCCGTAGACGAGAGAGGAGGCATCAAGCTATCTGAGCACAATCTTGTCTGCCAAGCAATCTGCGACGACATTTACATTGTATATTGTACGATAATGATATACCTTTCGCCAATGTGACATCTACCCATGCAACGTATCGAGGTTTCAAGATCTCGGTTACAGTTCATGCAGAAGCGAGGATGTTCGAATCTTGCTGGAGTCTAGTTGGAGAATCTTCTGCGCACCTCCTGCTGTCCTATGAGAACTTTGCTTGGAAGGGGCTGAGACGCAGCGCGCGGGCGCAGAGGGAACGAGCCCGTTGCGGGCAATCGCAGGATCAGACGTGAAGGATTCAGAATCCCATGTAGGAGCCCCTTCGGAGTAGCATTTGACCCCGTTTTTCGAATACTAGGCAGTCACTCATCCACAAGAAGTGGGTAGCCTCATACTGGCAGACCATATCAGACCATAATATTAATCCGGGGCCGTAAGTATTGTTAAGCGTCGGGTGTATTCAATATCACGCGACAAGGACTGAACAGGGCCTAAGAAAATGTTGACCGATCGCTCCTGCAGCAACAAAACAGCTGAAACATAAAGCCTCGGAACTGGGCTGTGATGCAATTCAGGGGGGCCTCTTTGAGGCTTAACGTTTCTGGTTTCCTAGATACAGAAGCCTTGAAACATCGGATCGTCTGCTCTCTGGACAAACATGTCCGGAGTGCCTCCACACAACTGTTGCAAGCCCTTAATCTGTGGATTTCCTGCTCGAATCAATCCTGAAAATCGAGCCTTGAAGTCAGCGAAGCTTAGACACTCCTGAACTTCAATCCAGATGCTCGACTGCTCGAGACCTCTCGAGCATTCCAGACTTTGGGATGTTCCGCGGCTGCTGAGTTTCTGGATTAGTCCCCTTCCCGGGAGAGCTCAGATTTCAGTGCACAGACGGGGATCCCTGCATCACTTGGATCATGTTCTATCTTCTATCTTCCATTCGGCTAGAAGGGCCCACAAACTTTCTTCGGGAAAACTCCATACAGGGATTATGCTGCGGGACTTGTAGATGTGTGAGCTGAAATAAGAACACAAGCTGAGCAAGTGTGCGTGTCATCATCGGCCTACGAATTCTCCTCCATAACCCAAGACATAAGACCAATCTGGTTGGGTTTCACTAAGGTCACGCCAGTCGCGTGCTGAAAGTAACTCGACTTTCATTGGGACCCTCCATAGTTCTCTGTGCACCTGAAAGATTTCGCCTCAAATGTCAAAGGGCACTGCAAATTGCAGAGCCGTACTTTTCGTGGGCATGCAACAGCGCTCAGGGTGCAGACTTAAGATTAATAAAACCATTTTCTTGAGCATCAACACTTTCCGCAAGTCCCAGGGTTTTTAAGTTTCGACAGCAAGATGCCACCCATGCAACACGTGCAAAGTGTACAGATTCCAGAAGCAGACGTGCCACCAAACACGCCCCCGAGATCCCCCAAGCAAATCCTGCATCTAGATGCGAATAGGAGATCAACATGGAATTGCTCTCATTTTTCCAACTGCGACTGGTACCTCAAGAGCCCGCAGTAGTCCTACATTTCATTGCGTCTAATGAACCTCCTGCGGGGCTCTAGTAGGGTGCTGCTCAAGTTTTTCGGCAACTTAAAGGCATAAGGCGACATTTGCCATGTCCACTGCTAGCGCCTAAGACGGGACGTTGCCAATGCTTCGGTCCTTTAGTCCTGCAAGCTAGCCAGCTGGCCTTTTGCATGCTCACATGTCGGAGATGTGCTGCCGGAGACCGAGAAACATATTGGGCCGGTGCATCAGCTAGACTTAGTTGGAGGAAGCCTGCAGAAGTCCTACCCCTTTGAGTGCTTGGGCAGGCGATCCCGAAGTTTTGTCGTAGTCAGCTTGGTTTGAGAATAGTGGTCCAGGATAGTCCAGGCTGGGTGTCAGTCATGCTGAAGGTGTCGAGCCAGCAGGAGTGTGGCGCATCATTTGTAAGCTTCCTTGTTCAGCTCTTGCCATTGCGATGCTGACGGCCTCTTTACGCAGTTGTCTGAAGAGATCAGGCCTGTTAATAAGTCCTCAACATGCAAAATACCTGCTTGATTGCAGTAGTTCTTTTTTTGAAATTGCTCGTGTCACACCCGAAGACAACAATCTTGGGGTTTGCTTTTCTGGGAGTCCTGTAGGGCTTATTAGCCCGTCATGTCTTGGCAGAGGGTTTTTACAGTCTGCGCGCCAACCCTAAGCCTCAACCCCTCAACCCTGACCCACCCTTGTATGTACATTTCCGCAGCTGCGAATCGCAAGACAAAGGGCACCGACCACAGGGTCGCCCAAAATCTGCCTTTGGAACAGGCAGGGCTCAGCGGCTTGGTGGTAGTACTGTTCCAAACAACGTTTTACAGAATTCGGTTTTCAACCAGTAGAACTGGGCTTCATTTTGGGAAGTGATTGTAGGCAAGGTGTCGATGTTCGCTGAGAAATGCACAACAGTTGGGCGCGTTGATGCTGTCAAGGCTACTTACAGGGATCCTGATGAGGGGAATCTTCTGCCGGCCCCGACTCCGCAAATTTGCAGATGATTAGGTGGTTTCATAGCAAGCTGCGCCTAGTTCTGGGGACCGGTATGGCCAATTATCCATAGTAGCGTGTCAGCCAAATTCTTGTACTCGCTCATAGCTGGGCTCACCTGGCCCTTCTGGTGCAGGTCTGATTCGCTTCCGCTGCGGTTTACATTATTTTTAGGCAAGAGCGCCCCTAGACCTGCATGCAGCGGAAGGCATCATCCAGCAAAGGCTACCCAGTCTGAGTTGCCAAGGAAACCTCGGGAGACTCTAGGTGCAGCACCCTTATCCCTGAGAGGACTCCCAAGTTTCTTGTAACGGTCTCAATACGCTACTTCTTCGTTGGGTTTAGATAGCCTCCACCAACTTCTGCGCAGGTGCAGCTAGGCGGCCAGGATGAAGAAGACTGAGACCAAGCCTGCAAGATGTCAAGTTTAGTCATGGGTCCAAGCAGTAGGGGTTCAAGGCATGGGCTCACATAGCAAGTGTGAAGCACTATCTTAGTGCGTCAGACATTAGCTTTCAATGGAAAGAACCATTTCGCCCCTTCATGTGTCGCTCCCCATGTAGTGACTGCCTATGCAGTAGCTCATCCGCTGAAGCATTCGCCGACCTATAAAGCTCGTCCTGTTATGGTAGTCTTGTACCCGCGGATGGGATAAGCATGCACCGACATGGCCTCGCAAAGCAGTGAGCGGTGGGTTCTAAGGCTTCACTCAAAACTAGGTCTGACGACTTTCTGTATTCTGTACCCAAACAGCAGGACCTCTGCACAAGCACTGCGTTAAACGAACCCGTAATCTTGCCTTTCCAGATGCCCCTTGACTGGCCTCGTTTCGCTTTCAGCCGCTTATATGTGTTGACTTTGGGTGGCGCCTTCCTAGGAAGATCTCGCGAACGATGAGATCATCGAGAAGTGCCTTGAGGTCAAAGGAGGCCTCAAGGAAATGTGTGTAATTACAGGTTGTGGGTCCTGCATTGACAGTCACAACAATCATTATTCTCGATTTGGCGGTAATGTAGTGGCACCTTGGCTTGTTTTAAACGCAAGTTTAGATTTCTGGATTGAGGGTTCCATGCCCATCTACCGCAGGTATGCAGGAGGTGAGATCTGAGGTTGGCTAGCTGCAACAACCAGTGACATCACTCTCGCTACGATATTGAACATTCTGCTCTTCAACTGCATGTATGAAGTCCAACCTTGGACAAAGCTTTCCAGATGGACGCTGCGTGATGAGCGTTTGTTTCTTTCTGTTCTGAATACCTGTGTCTCATAGTTAATCTCAATTGCTGCAGGCTCAAAATTGGAGGCGTGGTGTAGAAAGAAACCAGGCCTTAAGCAACACACTTCTTGGGTCCAATAACCGTGCAGTCTGGAACATTTGCATAGACCGTCCCAAGTATTGCCTCACTTCTTTGGGTGTCTTATAGGCTCCTATGCTCAGGATTGCAGACATTCTGGCTTTGCACATGTGTCTTGCAGGAGTTCTGAAATCAAACGGCTATTTGTGGTAACACAGACTATGTACACAGATTTTCAAAGCTTAGTGCCAGCCCTATGCCGCTCTGCATCAGATAGGAAAAGTTGCAAGCCAAAGCAGGCAGCCCAAACCCAAACTTTCACCGCCCCCCTCCCCTCATGATGCGTATCCTCCACTCTGCGCTGGTGTAGGCAAGCCCGGAAAGCTTGTCCAGATCCCCGAGGGTCAGGCGCGACGGATTCTGAAAACACGCGTATCTTTTCCAACCCTGAAACGTTGAGGAGAGTGCGACGGTCCCCTTATCGATTTCGCAGGATGTGTTTGAGAAGCTTCCATGTATGTAATCGTCCTCGAAGGAATATATGAGATCATGAGTTTTGTCGCTAAAGGTGGTGTAGCCTTGCTCTCTAGGCATTGCTCTTTAGGCATTTGGGCTCGCTAGACCTCTGGGTTGAGCATTTTGACCCTGCTGCAGCGACCACTACTTCCCAAAGACCCTCCACCTTGAACTAAGTCACCTTTATGAAGGATCTTCGCTGAGCGACTTCCAGGCTTCCCCCTACTGCCTAATGCCTCCCGTAGAATGTGCAACTATTCTTCTGCTGCTACTGTACTGCAAAGCCGACACAGACAATTTTGAAGTTGGCCCAAGCTCGTAATTCGCCGTATCACTTTTTTGACATCCCCGACGTTCTTATCGAAAACTGCTACGCACTTGCTAGTTTAATTAACCTCCATGATGTGTTCCATGTCCGGCATGGAGCAGGTGAAGAGTCTGTGCACATCGGCTTGGCTCCCAGTGGCGTAGCGATCCTAAGGAAGAGCTCTGTACGTGGCTAGAACTACGGTCAAAGAACGAAAGCTCTAATCACAACTGGGCCTGCTGACCGTGTTCCGTGTACTGATTATGGTACTTGTTAGGAACCTTGGAACTGCCCATGAGGCTCCAAGTGGGATGAAAGGTTCCCTTTTCCTGGGGTGCCTGTAGTTTGCAGGCACAAGAGGCTTGAATAACAGTTTCTTCCGCTCACGCCGCACAACACAGTAGCGAAGGAGTCATCCTTCCAGAGGCTTCAGCGTGTCTTAGCGTTCCTAAGCGCAATTTGCAGCTGACAGGTTGAAATCACAGAGGAATTATTCAAGTGCAATTTCTTTGGAATGGCATTATCTCTGGTAGGTTTTAGCAGCTAGCGGAATGTACCGATTGCAGAGTCAATTTGATCATTCGAGGGTTTCACGTTACCCTCTAGATCAGCTGCTACTCGCCATGCCTCAAGTGAGGCACGGGTCATTTTCCTCGACCAGAGCCCTCTGCTGGAGTTGGAGGCATGCTTTCCGGCTAGAGTTCAATCTGCTCAGGGGGTGGTAATTGCTGTGTTGATCATGCGCCCCATTCGTTAGACTGCTCAGCATGGGTTTTGTGTTGGGCACATGAGATGGCATAGTCTGCATGAAGGGCCATTTGGTACACTCCGCTGCAGAACTGAATGCTGCCATAGCGCAATATCATAATTTGGCTTTGACCAGGCGCCCCTGAAGATTTGTGGGGACGTTCACGGCCAATACCACGACCTCCTACGCTTGTTCGTGCCTGGGCTGTTGCTGTGTCGACTTCGTTCCGTCCTGTTCCAAAGGTTGCGCTGCTGTTGGGGTTTAGGGACTTACAGGCGCAGGCCGCGGACTTGTAAGCAGTGCTTGCATTTGACTGTGTACTTCGACATTTACCTAACAGGAAGGTACAACTTCGCATCACTATCCATGGCAGCTTACTCTATAGTGATAGGCTTGACAACGCAGCCAAAGACCTTGCTCACTCTAGCCTGAGTATATGGGTGGAAGTTGCAAAAGTTATATTTACGGAGCAAGAGAGCATCGCAACTTTCTGTTCATGGCAACTGCACAAGGGCTTTTTACCATCTCTTCAGATAGCCACAGAAAGCTATGTTTGAAACTGCATGCCTCCCAGCCTCTTGCTGGACGACGCCTTTCCATTATCATGCGGTTGGGTGCAGGCAGTGCAGTCTGAGTCAGACTTCAGAAATCTTTCAGAAGAAATTCCGGACAGCAGCAAGGGGATGCCTGGAGGGTCTGGCTAAGGTACGTCACCGTTCATTTCAGATTTCAGAGATTCGTGCCAAGTCAAGCTTACTAAGATCTCGTGGCCCCCACCCCCCCAACACACTGGATGAGGAGTGTAGAAGGGATGCTGTGACATTCCTCCTTTCGGCCTCGCATGGGCTCGTGTTTGGTATACTGACTAAAGCTCTCGCAACAAATCCTCAGCCTAAGACATTGCTACATACAAGTCAGGAAGTGCATCATGCTGAACCTGGATGATGTCCTGTAATAAGGAGCAGTAAGCAGCCAGAAAGCCGAGGAGTATGGTGGCTTCCCGCCTGAGAGCAACTACCTTTTCCTAGGCACGAGAGCTGCCTGCAAAACCTGCAACTGCTTATTGAAAGTTATGCTTTTCAGGTCAAATATAATGGGGTCGAATGGGCGGTAATGCTTAGGATAGGGGGCTTGGCAAGTTTTAGGGTTACACATTCTTGGCTAAAGGCGAACATCAAAATGTGGATTCTCTTTGGGATCTATTTTTAGAGCGGTACAGATATCAACTTGCAGACTTGTGCTTTTCGGGTTTTTGTTGCGTCGGCACTTCACGGGACAACCGAGCACATAGAAAAACAGTTGGTTTCATTAGTGCACAGCCAAGCAGTCGGATCTTCGTTTCTGATCCACACCCCGCGGATCCCCCAAAGGGGTTGCTCCCGAGCACTTACCTCATGCTGAAGCTCTAAGTTCAGAAGCTTCGATCGAAATCCTACACCCAAAATTACCTTCAAACCGTTTGCCCATCTGTTGCCCGCAGGAGACTACGTGGACCGCGGAAAGCAGAGCTTGGAGACTATCACCTTGCTGTTTGCGTATAAGGCGCCATGTCTGGGAGACCGCAGGGGGGGGGACATCTTTGTGGATCCCGAAGCGAGTGAGCCGCATGTGCGGGGTTTAGGTCCAGGGCTTTTTGAAGGGCCCTGCGCTCACTCCTAGTGTGTGAGGGTGCCGCCAGACAGCTGCAGGTGAAGTTTCCAGAAAACTTCTTCCTGCTCCGCGGGAATCATGCCCCTTGACAGCTTAAATACGTCTCAGAGGCTCCACCAGGGTCTGCATGCCTGCAAACAAGGTCTAGGAGACTTGAGTCCACATTGCCGATGCTTCAGCTGAGGAGTGCGCATCAATTACGAGGATTTACGGGCGACTTGCTGGAAAGAGGTGTCAGTGTGTCGCTACTTCGGAACATGGCCCTTTGTTGAAAACGGGTTTCCAGTTGGCGTGTGCGCAACGAACATGTTGGATCCTATTTGCAAGGACATCTCAGAAACAGCATCATGCTGTTGAGGAGCTTGGGTTTGGGTCATAAATGATGCATGTTGTCAGGCTTGAGCAGGCTGAAGCATGTGCTTCGGCAATTGCTTGGGAGGAACACCGGGAAACCTAAGTGGAGGATAAGTGTTCCAGCCTTTTCAGACAGCCAAGGCCTCCTTCTCATATTGCCAGTTCTAGACTTCACGGGGGAGTTGCTGCCAAAAGGCAGTGACAAGTACTGGAGAAGGGTTCCTGCTCTTGCAAACTACCCATGCGATGTTCCACAGAGTGTGAGATTCAGCCTCATACTGGCTATATTGTTTGACATCTCAGACCTGCGCCGCATCCAGTCCGCATCATACTCATGTGAGGAACGTACAGCCGAACGGGCCTTGTCATGTGACAAGAGCAGGCAAGAGAAAGATATCCTGTTTGAAGTTGCTCAAGGTTCGCACGTTTCGCGCATGTTTGACTTGGCTACTGTGACGTGGACCACTAGTAGAAGCATCCGATACCAAGAGCAGAACGACTCACAACAAAGCAAGTAGCTGCGGAAAAAAAAAAAAAACGTGAATCGCTCGGGTGTTTGCATGCATTGAAGCTTCGCAGTATTCGGGGTTATGGGGAATGTGTTAGGGCCTATGCAGGTATTAAAAGGAGTATCAAACTAGGTGTCCTTTCCTACGGACCCGTCATAGTGAAGCACTGAACTGTTGGGGGCTATATGCAGACGCCTTACCGTGCTGAGAAAGACTTACCTGGGGTGCTGAGGTTTTACGACGAGTGCAAGCGACGGTACAACATCAAGCTTTGGAAGCAGTTTTGCCTCTCAGCTGCGTATGGTGGTAGGCTTGGGTCAGCTAGAAGTACAGCGACGCCACCCCTGAGAAGTGAAAAGCCAAGCATGCTCGTAGCTATCATTTGGAATGAAGATATTGTTTTGAGATGTGCTCCCGTTCAAGGCATGCTGTGAGGCATTGCCGCTATGTGATGTCTAATGTTGTCGCGTGCCGCCCACTAGGCGACGTCTTCAACTGCATGCCCGTATGTGCTATCATTGACGAAGCTTGGCCAGCAGAATTTCTTCTTGTTTATGGCGCAGTCAGTAGCCACCGGTCTAGGTTCAACGTCATCCCGCATCAGCGCAGTTATGGCATTCTAGTGCGTTGGTGACGCTCATCTCAGGAAAAGATCATTTGCATGCATGGAGGCTGGCTGACAATGCTAGGGCGGAGTGTCAAGAAGTTCTGCTGCTGCTGCTTCTAAACTACGGATTTTTCAGGTTTGGCTAAGGGGTCAGGCTTGTCAGGCTTAACATCATCATTTGACTACGACATGACCGCATTTCGGAGGGATGAGTCACGCTGCACTGTGCCCACCCTGTTGCCATTGCACGGGGCAAGTGAAGTCGTTCCACACTCTTGTAATGGTGCTATGTATCCTGCGGGGCCTAATCTGAAACATCTGATGGTCCTTCTTATCCCTGCCCCGGAAAACCTGAGTAAGTCCTGTTTGAAGCCAAAGCTCTGGCCAGTAGTGCTGCAGCTTAGCCTTGCAAGAGCTGCAAACGCTCGCAAGCATTATTCCCACGCGCCTTGAGCACCAAACACGCGAAGCCCCGTGGCCAGGCTTATCGCCTGAGATCACGAGCTTCGACCAAGTCAAGCGCATCGTCCGCCCCACCGATGTGCCGGACACAGGCCAGTCGGCTGTTGATGCACGGGATTCCCATCATCCCGACAATCACCGTGAGCTCCTTGCCTTACCATGTTTCTTAGCGAGTTGAAGATGGCTTGACGATTGGCTTGTTGGAATGCTGCAGAATCCAGGCGGCTGTCTGCACAGTAGCACTGAAGTCCGCATAGACACTGTAGAACGATCTAGGACATCCAGTGTGAGATCCTGCTGTGTCGTCCACTTGTTGCATGTGAGTGAGCCAAACTGTCAGTATGGCTTACGTTAGCGGCTCGGTGTTGTAATATTCGTCTTCTAGCCTCCATCAGGGTCTCCGGTCATTCGGCATATAATTCTCCACACACACACACACACACACGCACACACACACACACACACACACACACACACACGCACCCTGTTTGGAGCACATAGATTTGCTTGTCTCCTCCAGCTTCCTCACTAAAAATAAATTTCCATAAGTACCCAGTAGAATGCATGAGTGATGTTCGCATTTGCCAGGGGAGGGTTGGTATTGGTCGCTTGTTGTTGCAACACGCCTTACACCTGCGACAGGCGGCCTCAGAATTTCCTTGCATGAACTGTAGCCCTCTTGAAAACAACTGCTATACATCCTACAACACGCGCTTGTACTTGTATTTCCCTTCCAAGAGCTGAAGACATGTTATGAAAGAAAAGGTTTGAACATTACTGATCAGTACTGTTTAGTCACCCCCTATACGATAGATACACAGGGCTGGCAGACTTGCAGGGTCATCCTTCTATGATCAGTATAAACCCTTAAAGATCTGTAGGCCATTGAAGGCCCATTGGGAGCTTGCTTGCCGTACTCGTAGCTTGGGAAATGACTCCCGTTGCATCCTGCAGCCACAGTGATTAAACTGCATGACCCGTGCCTTGCACAGGGCTCATTTGCGACCTGCTGTGGGCCGATCCCGACAAGGCACGAGAATTCTTCCAACCACGGGTCTAAGAAAAATAGCTTGTATGGCTGTGGTTCCCAAACAAAAAATCGAGGTGGTCAAGGGCATTTATCATTTTTCTTTGGTTTAAGAGTCCACTGCACTGGGAATGGTTCTGCTGGGCGAGAGCCAATTTGGGTGACATTTATCCTATGGTCAGGAAATTCCAGATCAGTCAGGTTCTCGAATATGGCCAAACATGGGACGAGCTGTTCCTGTTGGCGATACATACACGTTCTTATGACAGAGCTTCTTGTGATCATGACATGGCTGTACAGAGACTTCGGCATACGTGAAAGGCTCCTGATTTTCTGGCATGTTGGCTGATGTTGTTCGGGAGGCATTGTGGTTAGAGTGCTGATGCTTTTGCACAAGTGTAGAACAACTTGGACATGCGTTACACTCCAGAATGTATTGCTAGATAAAGACCTACGTGGCAACGGTCTGAGGCTCAGGGCGCAGTCTTGACGCATGCAATGACGCATCCACCACTCTGTTCGTCATGCTCTTGAGAGGAGTTTGGTCAGTGGCCAGGTATTAGACAGATTTTCACCAAAAAGCCGCGCTCCGGGCCGAAAGCATTCTGCCAGAGGGCGTGCTGCTTTTTCAACGCGCGTGAAGAGATTTTGGAAAAGCTTCAGGTATCATCCTTCGAAAGATGCCTGTAGTTTACAGTAGCATGTGTTGAAAATCCTTGAATGCTGTGGATCTGCATCCCAACGATTTGTTAAGGCTTGCTCGAGTCAGTCAGATAGAAGATAGATAGCATTCCTGTGACGCAGCGTTTGTTTTCGAAGTGACAGAGCCATTGTATATCCATGCTTGCAGAGGTGCTTTCTCTTCCACCTGTTCAGCCATTACTTGTTTTCCAATGCTGTGGTTGCTCGTAGATGACAAGAATGCCTCCTGTTCCGACCTGAAAGCTCCGACAAGGACATCTCTGGTTGGGCCGAGAACGACCGCGGTGTGCTGCTTGACCGAGAATCATTCAACCATGCACAGTGATCCTGCAGCGTCGAACAGGAGGTAAACATGGGGAGGGGGGCTTCTTGGTTGTGGTTGACAGGCACGGTCTTCCAAAAGATGCTGCAATGCCAGGAAAGCGATGTAGTCTGGACAACTTATTGCTGACCCGCACTCTTGCTCGTCATGCAAGCCTGACTATTATTTGTGGGTGCCCAAGACTTTCCCGAAGTTGAGAGCAGGCTTACGTGTTTCGAGACTTCAGTTTTTTGCCAGAAGCCTTGTGCTGCGTCATATATGCAACTTTCCAATAGAAACGATGTATGTGACGTGCGTTGGCCTTGGGGATCGCAATCCACGCAACAACTCCGATTGGGCAGCCCAGGTCCTTCATCTTCGGCCCTGATGTTGTGACAACTTTCCTCCACAAGCACGCGGTTTGGCTGCAGAGCCGGTTGCCAATCAGTGAAAAGCTAGGACTGAAGACTCTCTCAACTCCTAGGTAGGAAAGCAAATGCTCCATGTAATAGTTCACCTGGTTGTACCGTAGCCTTTGATTACGCAAGTGCGTTGTGCTTTGCCTTCCTTTCCATGGATGCAACCCCCCTCAGTCTTTGACCGCTCTAACATCCTTGAATTCCTGTAGCACTGCCTACACGGAACACTTGCACAGCCTACTGGAATCTCGGGGAGAACAGGCTTGCTTTTCAGAATGTCGCAAACTCCAAAAGTCAAAAGCTGAATGGTTCCATTTCATTACTTGAGTCTTTGTACATCCCATTCAAATTTAAGGCGGGAGCAGGCAATCTGAATCCCCAGACCTTAACTTTGAACCGCCGTACTGAAATTCCAAACCCTGCGGATTAGCGGCTGTAACTCCCTTGCCGAAGCTCAGGACATGGACTTGGTTTGCCGGGCCCATCAGGTCGTTGAGGACGGTCGCTTTAGCTGCACAAGAGGCAATTTGTGTGTTGGCAGCTGGACTACAGTAGTTAGACTAATTACAGTAGTCAGAGCAATTCCCAGTGCAATGGAGTCTGCATTTGGATGGGCTTGCGGGTGCGTTTTTGCAAGCTGCTAGATCGCTTCCAGCGGGCTTTTTGAGCAGTGCCGTCAAAAAGGAGCTTCGTGGGTCTAGCGTGAGCCAATTTCTGTGGGAGTAGCCTCACTGTGGAGGTTTTCTTGATCGCAGCAGGTAATTGAGTCTTGCTGGAAGGGCCAGGATCAGAGACGAGAGCCTCACCAAAAGGGTCAGGGGCTAATATCGCACTTGCAACTTGTGCCCGAGAAGTTGCGTGCAGTCCCTTGTAAAGGCCTCAACAGTCAAAATCCCACTGCTCTGGGCGCGATTTTCCCAACGATTACAGGTCAATTGTCCGTCCAGCAAATTTAGCCACTGAGGATATGAGTTCTTCGCCAAGCGACAGTTGATCACACTTTTCAGCGCTCCGAACTACTGCGGCTGGGACAAAGCTTCCGGGTTTTGGCTGGGGATAGGATCAGGTTTATTGCTTGAAGAGCCCACCACCTAATCGATCTAAGTGGGATCTAAACTGCCGCGCCAGGGCTTGGGTGAACAGTGTACTGTGTGCTAGCTAGGTGCTTGAAGTGCCTGTCATTGCAAATGATGACATGTTGCTCACCAGCCTCACAGCGCCTTGGATAGACATCTTTGTAGTGACTCGTGCCGAATCGATTTTCAGCCCTGTTGCCCTGCACTGCACGACCATGAAAATGTGCAGTTCTCAATGCATGCGACTTGATCCAGCAAGTGTGTTGGGTTCGAGGGAGCACATGCGCTCCGATGTTCGTACGATTTCGTACGGCTTCGTGTTCTCTTTTCTAGACCTGGACTGGTTTCCTGGCCGCCATGTTTTTAGACCATTGTCACAGAGGGTGACGGGCAGGGTTGGGTTTTGTGCTCGTCAAGAACACCAAAGAACTCCAGTGGCATGAAACGGCAGCAACTTGATCTCTTGAGGTGAGTTGCCCGTTGCGCACAATCAAAATTCTGCTTCCCCCATACAAAGCCCAACATTGCTGAAGTTGTTGCCGCAAGCTCATTGATGCCATTAAAAAGGATCTTGAAGAAGCTTCGTGATTTTCTTCAGCTTGCCACGTGGACCTGCACACCCGTTTCCCGCACTTCATCAAGTGTCTTCTTCCCCCTTTCATAGGCAAAAAGATCTTAGTGGCATACTCTCTCCTGGGTTGCTGTTAAGGAGTTACTGTATTGGGTAAGCCATACTACTTAGCAACAGTATATATATATACACCCATTATGGTAACTCAATTTAAGGTCCTAAACAGCAACCAAGTTTCTTGTCTTGTTCTGTCCAACACAGAACTGCCTTGCTCATAAGGCGGCGAATTCGACAATGCTGGGGCAATGATGTCCATTGATGACACACTCATGTGCCCATCCGTGGGTCTGAGGAAGGATGATGAGGGTGACTAGTGCTGTTGTTTACAGTAGTATCGGTGTTGATCTCTGCTCGTTCTATCGGTATCTTCATCGTCGCTCTATTTTTGTGGCCCCAGCGTTGGCCTTGAATTTTGGACCTCCACGTAGTGTAGAATGTAGCAGCTTCTATCACTGTGGCTCGGACAATTAGGTAGTCCCAGCTAGTCTATTGGCTTGGTGAGAAGCACCCAAGCACGCGCCATTCTCGAGTTGAAGTACTTGCAGAACGCCAAAGTCAGGGCCCACCAAGAAGAATGTGGAACGCATGGTCATGACCATGACAATAATGACATTGGCGACCCAGCTGCACTGTAGAGAAAAGAAAGACAAGAAACGCATTGTTTAAAAAGAAGGTAAGGTGAAGCAGCCATATGCGAACGCATCCTGTTGCTTGAGCTTGCGCGTTCGGGTATCGGGCGGCCTCGGTTTTGAGACCAAAGGGCAGAAACATTGGGTTACAGCTCTGCAAGGTTGGTTCCAGGAAGATGTCTAAGTCAAGGACACCTATAATCGAGCACTCAATGGCAAGCTTCCAGAGGATGCCACATATACAGAAAAAAGATTCGCGGAAATGCTCAGGCACGACGCGTGTGGTCTGCGCACAACTGTTTGGCCGGAGGTGCAGCTTCAAGGTGTTGAAGCCCGTTAAGAAGAAATGAGAGACGAGGCCGCAGGGTTCAGGGCTTTTGTACGTCCCACTGCGGGAAAGGGGTTAATTGCGGCTCATGGGGTTACACCACGGATTTCTTACGTGTAGATGTAAACAGGTTCTGGGTCTGATGTTTGGGTATTTGCAGCAGGCAATCGTGCGAAGACAGCGAGTGCACAAGGTGTTTGGTGCGACAAGTTTCTTTCGAAAGTTCAGATGCTTTTGCTCTTTTTTTGGCCGGAGTGGCGTAAATTGGCGTGGGGTTTGTAGTGTTCAGGTGGAAAGAAATTTACTTGCTGCAGGCTGCACATATTCTTGGACCTTTACGCGCCCAAGAGATGTCGGAGATGACGAATAAGTCTAAACCCCACATCCTAAACGCATTCGTAGCTGCCGAGCCGTGGCAATGACGTTTCAAGGGAGCATATGCAATTCCTCAAGGCTGAATCAAACAAAGCCTAAGCCTTTTTTTTTTCTCCCCCTGTGAAGCCCTTATCATCAACAAAGATGCAAAAATGTAACGGGACCTTCATCATGGAAATGCCATAGCTTTGCCACAGCCAATGATGGAAGGTTCTTGTCTCCCTGCCCCTCCATGCTGTTCTTTGATGACAAACAGCTTTCGGATACCTTCTGCTTAATGCCCCTGCTTTGTTGCCTTAAGTGCAGCTGCTTCTTTGTAGCACATGGGCTGGGCTGGGCTAGCTGCAAACTTGGAATGCAGGCACTACTATAGCATGTTATACTACTTTATAGTATATTATAATTAGTATGTTCTATCCTCGTATAGAGTACAGGAAATCTTCTGTTAAGTTGTTGCTCAGCTTTCCAAAGCCCAGGTAGCAGGTCACACACACAAGCCCGTGCCAGGCCGCAACAAGAGCGAAAGGAGGTATGAATGGTCGGAGTTTTCACGCGATCCATGGTCAAAGCTCCTCTGTTCAACTTTCATAGGTTCAAGGTACAAAGATGTAGCAGGTCTTCATACAGCCAGAACCGGGGCATAAAAGTCCTGGTGTTGTGGTTCAGGATGAAACCAGAGGAGAGCCTGGTAATCTCAAGGATCTTAGACATGCCTACGTTACTGAGTTTGCTTCAGGCGTTGGGAGGGGGAGACAGGTTCCGCATGGCATGGCTTATGTGATGAGTGTTGAGCTTCTATACAAGCTAAAGGTAGATTTGAGAGAAACATGCGTGTGAGCTTTGAAATTGGCTCCTCGGATCATAACAGCTCCGAAAGCCGCGCAGCAAGGTGGTGCAGACGCTACCAGTGAACGCAAAAATCCTCAATTCAGGATTGTTCACAGTAACTAATTCCCTCGTGGTCCTTCTGCAATGCACTTGCCAAGGCATTTACTTTAAAAGCTCTATTCACGTCTTATGGCGTATGTTGCCGCACCGTTCCTTTCAGCAGAAGACCACACGTATGTTGCACCACTTGCTGCGCAAGTTGCTGAAACAAAGCTTCAGTGCAGCCATGCCCGCGCTTGACTAAGATTGTAGCGGTGGCCTCTATCAAAAGATGTAAACATACATAAACATACACTTTTCATGCTATATATAGATACTAGATAGACAGATATATATAACATTACATATTGGTTCATGCATTTATGCTTAGATGAGCAAAGGATTCTAGAATGGCTGTTCTCTGCCAATGGTTAGAATCCTATATAGGTCATGTTTTAAAATACTTGCTTGAATGTCAGAGCGTGCATGCCACGATGGCCGATGGGATATAGATTCCGGCAGTTGCCAACATCCTTTTGAGAGACTCTGTAGCTTCTTTACATGTCCAGGATTCCGGGATGCCGGACGTATTGGAAACCTAATCCCAAACCCCGAATCGAAAGGCCTCAATCCTAAAGCCTTCGCCGAATGTTTGTCTGAGCTTTTCGGCCGCTACCAAGCGTTGGCGTGCTGCTGGGCTGGTTGCTGCGCGGGGGTCTTCATGTTATAGAGGAGGATCTTGGACATCATCCTAGGGTCCCAGGATGCTCGGACCTAGTGTTCACGCATGTACCTACGTATGCGGGTAGCTACGCAGGCGCGCGGGTGTCTAGGTATGTAGATGCGAATGTGCTGCATGCATGGATTTGAGAATTTGTTCAATGCGCCCGTCAGTTGTCCACTGTAATGGCAACCTCAACTGAACTGGCAGGGTCCTTAGCTTTAGGGGACTTGTCTTGCGGGCCATGGCCAGAAATGAGCTACCTAAAAGCTACCATGGCAGTGTGCGCAGATCAGCGCCACTCTTAGGCCATGGATTAATGGGATTAGAAGTCCCTCGAAGAAATTCTTACAGGGACGCCTGTAGGCATTGCATGGTGGAAAAGTGCCCCTGGAAGGACATGTAGAAAAGGCCCTGTCCGGATTCTACGTTTCTTTAGAGTAGTTCCCACTCTGCGCCGACAGGTGAGTTTTTAGTGTTTTTTTACTTGACGAAGTCGATGCGATGCACAGTTGAAAGTCATGTGCGCAGATTTGCAGACCACCAGAAGGTCTGAATGGGGTACGGTTCCTGGGGCTTGATGCATGAAGGCAGCATCCATCAACTCATGACACTTGAGTTGGGCATCAGAAGGTCTTAGAAGTTGAGCCAGGCTTTTGTCAACGGCTTGTCCGAATTCATTCGGGAATTTTTCGGAGGTTTTGTGGTAGCTCTTCTGACAGTATTTGGGCGCGGACCGCTCTATCACGACATATTCATCAAGGCCCCTGTGCTGCAATTCAGGCTGCCAACTGCACAGCAGGCCCGTGATGGGCAATGTGGCGATGATCCCCGCTCAATAGGTGCTGGAATTCATGGCAACCATATGCAATGGTCCAGAAGGTTGAGGCACGTTGAGGGCTCCGTCATTGAGCGGTTTATAGAGTCTAGACGTCAGGCTTCATATGCGAAGCTTCCACGCTCGGCATGAGAAGAGACAGTGCAGATTCTTCAGGCATAGTTGGCAATTGCAGAAGATTTTTCCGTTCAGCCCTTGTCATTGCAACTTGAACAAAGCCCAGAATGGTCAATGAGAGCTGTTGAGACCTTTGCATCTTCCACACCTAGGAAAAGATGGGGATTGGAAGTGCTGGCTCTGTCAAGGCTCATGATCCCCAAGAAGCCAGACATGATCCTATGAAATCAGAAGCCATGTTGGGCACCATTAAGCCGATCAGCAATTCTTGCTATGACCCCTTCAATCCTAAAGAAGGCAGAAAAACTTCTTGTCCACGAAATCTCCAAAGGGAGGGGCCCCAATATGATACCAATCTTGTATGCAGACCCAAAGGATCCCGCAATAGCCTAACGTCGGAAACCCTCATATCCGCTTGGGGTCTTCACCAGGGCAGCCC